CTACATCGGAATTGTGTTTTTCAGAAGCATGAATATCGGAGATATTAAGTAGAACTTAGGGAGTTCTGGCAATCACAAATACCGTATACGAGAACGTTAACGGTAACCTATAATCCATCTACTGCCTATGACTTAAATGTCAATGTTAATTAAAATAATTATTCTTTAGTCTGCAATTACGATTTTTGAACTAATTTTGGCTATATCGTGTGCACATTACCTGATTTGAAGAATGGCATAATGAAAAGATTAAAGCCGCTTTTCACATACGCATTGTACAATCACCAAACATCAATTGCAGGTACAAAAAACAACTATCGCTTGACTACTTTTTTGCAATAACAGACTTTGCTACAAAAATCACTTTATCGATATGATTGAAAAGCTGATCGAGTTTTTTCCTAACTATATACTACGAGAATCTTTGTTAAATTCTCTATTGTAATAGAGCGCTTTTTTCAGTCAGTATATTTATCTATCTGTTTCACTAGGGATACGCAACAGAAGACTGCAATTTGAAGCACTCCAGTACCTAGTACAGCTCCTTCCTCCAGCAAATAGGGACACTCTCTACGCCCTTCTGTGTTTCTTAGCTAACGTAGCTAAGAATTCGGACGACACGAAAGACGAAGAAGGTAAACTATCTATAATCGTTAGGCATTTGGGCTTTAGACATTCTGGCTCGCGGATTTTACAATTACTGACTTAGGCCTGATAATGACAGTTTTGAAGTTGTCATTCTAGGTCGAGATTTAAGCAAACCGATGGTTTAACTCTTCCAGGAAGTAACTAATATGCGACCGTCTTTTCTTCGCCACATCTTGTCCACAAATATATTCTATTGATTATATCGGCATTATGCAACCCACAAAGCGTGCTGGCGGAATGCGAGTTGCAATATACGCCATTCCTCCATTGGTGGCGCTCACAGCAAGTACGCACAGCCTCACGTTCTGCCCTAAGCTTCCGATAAAGGCTGAAAAGTACATCACAGGATGTTTGTTTCTATGACCATCATATAGCGGAAAATCCGAGATTTTTAAAACCGTATTTTGCTTCTGTTTCTAACGTATTGCAGGGTACGTGTATTGGCAAAATGTATTGTTAAAATGACAAATCGACATACTGTTCAGTCTACAAATATATGGGCAATAAGTCAACATGAAGTGTTAGTTAGTGTCTGCCCCGTTAGGTCCAGTGGGTTTCAAATCCGTCCACATTTCGACTGAGTATGTGCTATGCATATCGACAACATGCCAAACGTGTGATGGAGCTCGTGAGATTGATTGGAAACGGGATATCATCGGTTGTGATGGATATGCGATGTCTAATTACTGAAGGGATCTATCAATCCCTGCTAATATTATAAACGCGAAAGTGTGGATGTATGTTTGTATGTTCAGTTTTCACGTCAAAACGGCTGAACTATTTCGATTAATTTCGACGTAGACATAGACTAGACCCTGAAGACGGAAATAGGCTAATTTTAATTGGAAAATAAAACTGTAGCGGTTGAAATAGGAGGTAAAAGTGACCATCATTCTTTAAGTTAGGGAGAAAAATATGGATTTTAATTTTTGGTTCTTTGGAAATTATACTCCTAAGAGTGAAGTGAGGCCTAACATTATTGAAGCTGAAGAGCCTTGAATATTTCAGGAGTATTTTTTGTCTATAGTTTTATCATTGAAATAAAGGGCATCACGAAAGAATTGCATCAATATTATAGTTCTGTAGTTGAAAATATTAAGGCTTTTTCCCACTACAACTAACAACCTTGCACTTGTTGGTATTTAGAGGCAAACTATTGACATCGTACCAAGTCCGCATACTATTCACCTCTATCAGTAAATTCAATCAATCATAAACATCCCTTACAGACGAATATATGTTCATGTCGTCAGCAAAACATACTTGAAAACATTTACCAACTTTCACAGAGGTCACTAATGATCAATGGAAATAAAAGTGGTCCCAATTTAGACCCCTGGGGAACACCGGGTAGAGCTGGGTAGGCTTCGGACTTGAGCCCATTATTCGCTACCTCACTGATACATAGGATCTAAACAATTTTAAAGTGCTTACTACGAATCCAAGGTGCCCTTCAACGTCAATTTTGTATATATCGTCTACTTCTTCCAGGTAACCCAGTAACCGGCAACAAAATGGACTCCAACAACCTGGCAACGGTGTTCGCGCCGAACATTCTCCATTGCATCAAACCGGGCGCCAAAGAGGGATCTTCAGACCGCCCTGAAGACAGAATCGACATCATTAACATCGTCAGGACGTTGATCGACCATTACAAAGCCATCTTCAACGTTTCTGCTGAGTTGCTGGACGAGGTGTACGTACATATGATGGATTCGCATCCGGAGGTTCTCGATCAGCTGTTGACCAAGAAGGACGCGGCGGCAGCCGCTGACGAGTAAGCACTCAACACAAATTTTAATCTCCAAGTACTGCACAGGGCGTTCTCAAAGTTGCGACATTACGCAGCGTATACCGCGTATTCTTAGACTGAAAATAAGTCGATCGTTAGAGGGCGTCGGAAAAAAGTAGGGCCAAGTGTAGAGCCGTGAGGCACACCCATAAGCGTGCTACAAAAGTCCACGCGCGAAACGAGGTTGTCTACTTTGTGACCCTTTTCTCACAATCTCACATCATTGCTACAGACTGCAAGGAAAACATTACATTCTATAAATGAAGATCTCTGTTTTGTCACGACGTAACGTTGTAGTAGACATCTCGCCATATTTTCAACAGGAATGCAGTAGGTACATCCACCATATTTTTAACAAGATCATACCAAGCTCATTCACCAGAAATTTAAAAACGATCTATTATTTGCGTTGCACATCCACCTTATTTCCAATACAAAGATAGGAAGTACATCCACCATATTTTCCTCAATATCATGTCGAGCTCATTCACCATAATTTCAAAACGTGCTTACGAATTCGCCATATTTTCAACGTGATCACAACGGACTCATTCACCATAATTTGAAAAATGAAGGATCTAAGCATTGTATGCCTGGTATACAGGGTATCCCATGATTCCGTGGACATGGAAGTACCACATATATTTAGACTCAGAATAGGTCATTTGGACATGATTTACTTCTATGCTTAAGTGCTTTTAGGCATTTTTGTTACCGATAGTCCGATTCGAATTAAGTTTGGAACACATGTGTTTCGTTATTTGACTATCACAAATTATCCGAAGGGGTTCTAGAATTATGCTACATAAATTATAGCAGATTTTTTCGCAACTCCCCTGATCTTCTTTAAAATATACATTTGTTTACTCCTTTTTTTGTTTCTTATAAAACAGGTAAACTCGCATAGTTTTCGAGAAGAAAATGTTCTTTGGAGCTGGTTTCTGAAAGATTTTCCTATTGCATTAAGTGCTAAATTTTTTTGTGACGTATTGTCATGTGCAGGAACGAAAATGGTGGTCATATTCAACCCCCGTTTTGATAGATTCGCAATATTGAATAAAATTGTAATAAGCATTATCATACCTGTTTATTCTCGCTAATTGGGAACCTTCTGATGCAACTCATTTTTTTTCTCGGATACTAGGCGAGATGGCTTGTTCTTATATGATACAATGAACGAAGTAAATAAGGAGATCTGCTAAATGATAAAAATCACAGTCATAGGGGAAGTTTTGTTATAATATATGTTGAGGTGGGGGTAATTCTCTCTATCTCTCAAACCTTATAGAGTTTTCCATAAAAGTCAAACATTAGTAGTTTAGCAAAACATGTTCCAAATTTCATTCAAATCGGTTTATCCGTTCTTGGAATATCTTAAAGGATGCGTTTTAAAAAGAAATTTTGGCCATCCTCTAACGGACAGACGAAGCACTTTTACATACCTCATGTCCAAGGAATCTTGAATATCTATGATGCAAACCCTGGATGCCTCATTTTTTAAATTAAGGTGGAAGTCCGTCCTATCTTTGCGTTGAAAATATGGTGAATGCGCAACGCAAACAATAGATCGTTTTTAAAATTATGGTGAATGGGCTTGGTATTACCTTGTTAAAAATATTGTGGGTGTACCTCCTTCATTCCTTTTGAAAATATGGCGAATGTGCAAGCGCGCAAATTAGATATCTATTCCAAAATAACGCTGCTGCAATACAGAGATTTCTTCCATTTCTAAAATGAAATATTTTCATTGCAGTTTGAAGCAATGATATAATGAATGCACTCGTGAGAAAAGCATCACAAAGTAGACAATCTCGTTTTGCGCGAGACTTTTGCGACACGCTTACGGGTGTGCCTCAAGGGTCTATACTTGAACTTATTTTTTTAAGAAAACTTTGACACCATCTAACGGACGTGGTACTTCTATGTTCAGACTGGGACATCCCGTAGACCGTTTAACAATAAGCAGATCTTTTTAGTAAAGGCTGGCATACACATGTATCGTAAGTTTTGATTGCCAAGCAAGTTGTTATGCAAGACTAAAGCACTAAAGGTGTCACGTTTTGTACAATTGATGATATAAGTAGATTGACAGCCAACTTGCATGCTTGTAAAATTCGGTTACTTTACTAGTGACGTGACTTACACGTTCCAACGGTAAATCCCTGGAGTAAAAAGCTAGTGTCTGAGAGATCTCCAAGCTATTCTGTATTTGTCTTCACTTCAGATCTTTGGATGAGCTAGAGAGTGAAACAAGCTCAGCACCTTGGAGTCCAGTATCGCTGACATTTGACACCCAATTAGGGGAATGCAACTTGGAAGACAACAAGCTGACTGAGCAGAAGAAAACTTATTCCAGGGAAGAGTTCCTTCACGAAGCTACTGCGACTGGTCCTAGGATGAGGATGAGGTACGTCCTGACAAATCCTCTTACAGTGTAAAGACCCATTTGTAACCTTTTCTTTCTCATCTTCTTTAAATTCTCTGTCCTTTCTATTTACCTTCCATATTCTTTCAGCCAAAGCGTCAATCGTACATCTACAGGCACATGTCAGAATAGTACCTTTTACTGCCCTTTGAATATTTTCTGTCTAAGCTATTTTTTCTCTAATGCTTTCCCAGATATCTTGGCAATGTACTTGAAGGGTGTTTCACATAATTTTTCCCCCTTCCAGGCATAGAGACAGGATAAAGGAACGAAGCGCCAGGAGGAAGGAAAAACAAGAAGACAGCCCCCTGACATCTTCTGCCATGACAATCATATCCTTGTTCCGAGGCCAGAAAGATGATCACCATAGCAAAAACAGGTCTTCGTCTCTGGAAAGCAGTTGCTCCGCACATACGGACTCTGACATCACCCAAATCCGACCCTGTGATGTGAAAGAGAGACGGGGATCTTACACAGCAGACAACATTGTCAAAGCCAGTCTCACCATACCAGTCCATCCACAGGTTAGTTCTTTGAGAAGAAAGTTGTTACAGACGTTCTCTGGAGAAAAGTTATATGAATAGTATGGATACACAGAGTGTTCTATGGAAATTGCGTACTCTTATAACAAATATCGTTTATTTTTTGCAGGTTGCTTCTTACACAGTCGACAACGAAGACATTCCTTACATCGAGGACGATACTGTGAAGCAAGCTCCTGCGGTACCACCGAGACGTACAAGGAACTACTCGACAGGCAGCGAATCTTCGATAGCCTCCATCCAGCCTATCACAGGCTCTATCTCTTTGATCCACGGGTACGACTCGGCCATTGGCTCGTCTACAGCGTGTTCGAGTTCAATCCAGAACACTCCTTCGTCGATATCAAGCGTCGTGGATACCGGAGGCATACATAGCCCACCATCGTGGGCTTGTAGTCCACCTACATCTCCTGACAGTACTACCACTACCGCAAACTATATTCCTGATGAGTCACATGCTCAAAGAGGGATATCCAAGGCGCCAAGAGATAGCACCTCCACCAGTGCAGGTTACGTAACCGATGAGTCGCACGCCCAAAGAGGTCTAAGCAAGACCACCACTTCTGATGAAGCACATGTACAAAGAGGTATGTCCAGGGCTTCAAGGGATGGTACCACCACGTCTGATGAAGCGCATGTCCAAAGAGGTATGTCTAGGGCTTCAAGGGATGGTACCACTAAGTCTGATGAAGCGCACGTCCAAAAAGGTGTATCCAGGGCTCCCAGAGTGAGCAATATCGCGAGCGAAGCATCTTCAGTGCTTCAGAGGATCCAGACGAGCTCGAGCGATTCTGGATACAAGAAGACCCACATGGGTTTCCCGATGCCGGAAAGGGAGCCCAGAATCAACACTAGCATAAGCAGTATTGGAAGTGCTGTGATGAAATCCAGGACGGCAGATTTCGAGAAGATCTCCAAGACGGATCCTGGGAAACCGAAGGCTGCGCCTGCTGGTACCTCGTCCACGAGTACTTCGAGTGATAGGGACAAGAAGAAGTACGTGAAGCGACGGTACACGGATTCCAGGCATCAGACGACCCATATTCCAGATTCGGAATATCTTGAATCGACGACTGCTCAGTGCAAAGGCCCGGAAAAAGTTGGTAACGCACAAGCTGGTCCAGTATACAAGCGAAGAGAACTGATTTCAAGTGTGCCGACCAAATGAGCGGACCTGGTTATAGTACAGTGAAATTGGATAAAATTACGGTGTGTCAATATAACTTCGTTGAAGTTTTGTTTCTAGTCTTACTGGACTATGATGTAGTATCATGCGCGAAAAATGTATATACACATATCGATCTTATATTTTTATATAAATAATCGTACGTTTTTTTATGTGTTCAGAATCAATAACGGCGACGAAGCCATATGAAGTGTGTAAAATATTGTATAAATAAAAATGTACACTCAGTTATTTTTATTTCTTTTTCCAATAGCCAAATAGAAATCCGAAAAACGAAGTGCAGTTTTTATTTACACGTTGTATTGATTTTTTTACTGCCTAAATGCAGCTCTAGCTACGCATTGCACGTACCGGTAAATCCTTAAAATATTTATTTGGACACGCGTCTGTTTTCGCGGATTTTTTATTTCATGGAGCTACGTGAAATAAAATCCTTTCAAACAAGTACAAGTTACGGTTATTATGTGCTGAACAGAGTTCGAAATAATCGGATTAAGCAGCAGCAAAAACATAAATGAAGATCTCTGTTTTGTCACGACGTAACGTTGTAGTAGACATTTCGCCATATTTTCAACAGGAATGCAGTAGGTACATCCACCTTTATTTTTAGCAAGATCATACCAAGCCCATTCACCTGAAATTTAAAATCCACCTTATTTCCAACACAAATATAGGAAGTACATCCACCATATTTTCAACAATATAATGTCGAGCTCATTCACCATAATTTCAAAACACACGTACGAATTCACCATATTTTCAACGGACTCATTCACCATAATTTGAAAAATGAAGGGTCTAGACATTGTATGTCTGATATACAGGGTATCCCATCATTCCGTGGACATGGAAGTACCACATATATTTAGACTCAGAATAGGTCGTTTGGACATGATTTACTTCTATGCTTAAGTGCTTTTAGACATTTTTGTTACCGATAGTCCGATTCGAATTAAGTTTGGAACACACGTGTTTCGTTATTTGACTATCACAAATTATCCGGGTACAAGTTACGGTTATTATGTGCTGAACAGAGTTCGAAATAATCGGATTAAGCAGCAGCAAAAACGAGCAAAGTCCGTCGGCATACCAGTAGATGTTGGTTACCGAAATGAGAGGGCGTGAGTAAGAGAAAACCCAAAGTTTCTTTGTTTACTGTTTATTATCACAAGATATGTCAACATGAATAAAATTACAAAACCACTATAAGATAAATTTTCAATAAAAATAATCATATTAACATAATATAAAAAATATCAATATATACTTCTGATTATTTACACAAATAAATGTAACAATAGATGCCTAATTTTAATACTCGAAAATTCACATAACGTAACACAATAATTTTGATTAATGGCATACGTATTTCTAGTTCTTCAAACATAAAATTTTGAAGAACTAGAATATCGTCCACGTCACCAACAAAAAAAAAGTATCATGATTTTTAGGCCCCGTGTCATGGATTTTATTTTCAAAAAGGCACTCTTTTAGAGGTATTAATTGGATATTTTTTTTTCGAAAAAATACCGTTCACCGTTAAGGTATGGTTACGTATTCAAACGCAGAGAAAATTACGTATAAAATAAGAGTTGAATGAAACTTTTGTACTCTAAATAATATTGATATTACGTACCTCTGCAGTTCAAAAACTTTAAATAAAAAAAGTATTTACAATTTTGCTTTTGTTGTACAAAATCAATAAAACAAAATTTTCTTACCGCTATTGGACGGAAATAAGTAAGCTTTAAGTAATGTATTTGTTGCAGAACCATATAATAAAAATTCCGACGAATATAATACAATTTTAAACATATAATATCATACAACATACAGGGTGTTTATTTGAAAACCTCCCACCACGGATTCATCAAAAACCACTGATTAAATGAGAAAACGCCGAAACACGTTAAAAGATTTGTCAAGGGTGACTTTTTAACCAAAAACTACTTCACCCCCTTCCACCCTCCAGGGCCATTCTCTTGAAAATTTTAAATGACAAGAGGCGTCGAGTAATAGTTTGACGTTTTATTTTTTAAAATCGGTCTATTCGTTTTCGAGAAAATTAGATCTTTATTTATGTTAATTAAACTAAAACACACGAAAACATCACTTTTTGTGTCGAATTGTAGATGTGGCAAACGCTAACGGGCAACATTTTGAACACTAGTTGAAATAAAAAGTGATATTTTCGTGTGTTTTTGTTTTCTATCTAAACAATTTTCTTCAAAACGAATCAACCGATTTTAAAAAACTAAACATAAAAATAAAGAACTTTGAAAGACCTTTCAAACAAGCTACTACTCGATTTCATTGTCTTTTAAAATTTTCAATGGGACGACCCTGGGGGGCAGAGTGTGAAATGGGGTTTTTTCTTTTAATCAGTGGTTTTCGATGATTCCGTGGTGGGAGGTTTTCAAATGAACAACCTGTATATAAAAATGCAAAGCTCATAGAATAATGTATAAGTTGGAAAATAGCTACCAGAGCCAATAATTAGAAAAGTACACGAACACCAAAACAGCTTGACAACCAATCATTTTTCTGAAAAAAAGTAATTTATCGATGATCCCAGGCGTGTCCTAGATAAATAAAAAAAATTGCTATATAAATGTGCTATTTAAATTTCCAAACTTTACCACAAGAAACCTCTTGAGGTTAATATCTAGGTCATCTTTGTGATTAACGATAATTTCCTTTTTTTTAAGTCTGAAACATTTTTTGGAGCCTTTTATAAAAAATATAAGCGACTGCCGAGTATTTGGGACATTCGATAGACTTGTATATTATTCTGTAAGCTTGGCGTGTTAGAGGGTGTGACAATCTCAGTACCACTTGAAAACATTTACAAAGTGTTGCACCTCCTCACCGATACAGTCGATAAGTGATGCTTTTGAAACGCGATTATATTATATAATAAATTCGTTATTTTCATGTATAAAGAATTTGTAATATTCAGGGTGTAACTTGTAATCACAAGAGCACATTCATAAGCCGAATTCCAGTAGAAAAGTTCATAGGTATAAACATGTGTCTTAAAAAGCTTCGTTTCTAGGGTGTTAAAGAAGATTGTATTTTGTCAGAAAAAAAAAACAATAGCAAACTGTCACTGTCACATGTATTGGATTATATTATTTTTTGAAATCAAGTGCGATACGGAGCGGAACCAAGAGACAAAAATACATAAGTAGCAAATCTGTACCTCAAAAGGGAGTATTTGCATTAATTGAATCGAAACTTTTGAACGGAAGGGATTAAAGGGATAGAAAAAAACGCGTTCCAAATCTCGGATGTCTGGGCTTTCTGATGGAAAAATCGTTAGGTCCGTAGCTCCGTTATCTTCGGAGGAGATAGAAACAGAATATCGAACAGCACGCTTGAGACACGAAAAAGGACAATCGTCCTACGTTTGAAAAATTTTTAATCAAAACGGGTGCCCTAAACGCATAAAACTGTTTCTTGGTAATTTATAGTATGCATCGACATGTACAAAATGGGCTACGTGAAATTTCATTTCTCTTTGTCGTAGAGAAGTTATCGACTTTTTGCCGAAAATTAGTCATTTTTCAGGTTTTTTTCTTTGAAAATTTCTAATTAAAAAAACTAAGGTGCGGATCAAAAGCGGACCTGGAAAAGACGAAAGGCCCATCATTTGGCCACCTAATGCGACTGATCCCGAGTCGATATGTCGAGAAATGACAGAACGACGGCGCAAATCGTTCAGGCGATACGCGAAGATTTACAGTTTTTTATCTTCGGTTCGCACTCGCTCTTAAAGCGCCGAGTAACGAAATTAAAAATGTTTAGTATGATATTAAATAATCACTTTATGAATACTCAAAATGAATAGTGAATAGACAGGAATATAAAATTAAACAAAATCGATTAAAAAAAATGTGTATACGAAAATTATACAAAATTGACATTGTAGCATTGATGCTAAATAAGTCTTCAACAAACAAACAGAAAAGATAAAAAACTATGGCGTGGCGTGTACAAGGATCTTTAAAATATCAGAAAAGAACCATTTTTTTAGACTTCAACCTGTTCCTGTAAAAAAAGACTTTTTATGATACACGAGCTTCTCTAAACTGTCAGCACAATTTTTACAAGTCATCCCAATTGTCAAAATGGCGTAGTTACGGAAGAAGTTCAGACTCCTCGCAAATTTTTCTGTGTAATTCGGAATCAGTAATTCCGTTGACAAAAAAAAATGGTGTATGTAATCAAAATAGGTACTCGCGGACAATATTTTGAGTATTTAAAAAGGCCAAATTTACTTATTTGCTTTCAGTTTTGTCCTTGTCTACGACAAGATCCAAGACCTATACCGCACTGATGAGTTGTAGATGAGCACAAAACAGCGGTGGCTGCAATTCAATTTCAACCAAAATGGTCTGCATTGTTGCTGTTGAAATTATCCGTACTGAATATGTTTGCTTATTTTTCATCAACAACTATACCCTATGCACGGTATCAAGCCACACCCATTTATTTATTTCCATTTTACAACATGCACACACAGAGTATACGTTTATATTCCGCTCAAGGTCACATAATTACGGAATTAAAGACACTAATTAATGCTGAATTCATCTCGTTCAATGACGCTTCCTTACATACAATATAACAATAGTCCGGTTAAATTTGTGTCACTTCAATTCATATCCAAATGATTGCTTGAAACTGTATATAGACTACTGTTATTCCAAGAGCCAGCAAAATTTAATCTCAATTTTTTTATTATATATCCTTTAATTTCTTTGGGTAGAAGGCAAGTATTGCAAAAGTACACTCTTATAACTTAAAGTCTCAAACTTTCGAAGATATATGCCTTCATCGTCTGTTATTTGTTGCTATTGTCAATAATTGTTTCCAGCTCCAGACGATGAAGACACAGATCTTCGAAAGCTTGAGAGTTTAAGTTATAAGAGTGTACTTTTGCAATACTTTGCCTTCCACCCAAAGAAATTAAAGGATATCTTCTCCTAACAGTTAAGGCAATTAACTAACTCACTGAGGACTCTTTATACTTCATTAGTCTCTAACTTTCAATGGACTTTGCCATCATCATCAGGAGCTGCAATGACACTATTGTGCAAAATGATTTTAAATTACTTACAATAGTATGTGAGATTGTTGCTCAATGTTATTAACGGTCAGGTTGAGGGAAACATTTAGTAGCCTGGTGAAGGGTGAATACATGGTACATTCGTTAAAACTAGTATAAAATACGAATCTACCATGTATCCAGCTTTCACCAGGTTACTAAATGTTTCCCTCAACATATCCTTTAATAACATTCAGCCACGATTTCACATACTATTGTAAGTAATTTAAAATCATTTTGCACAATAATTGATATTTCTTCTCAATGTTATTGTAGCTCCTGATGATGATGGCAAAGTCCACTGAAAGCTAGAGACTAATAAAGTATAAAGAGTCCTTATTGCTTGAATTTTGTCGAAGTATCCAACTGAAGGTGGAAGCTTTATTTTTCACCTAACTGGTCTAGATGAAAATGACCACGACTCAAGTTATGTTATATATATATATTTTTTTTTGGACGGAAAAGGCTGCAGTCGATAGACCTTGCAGTACAGGATACGTGTTTCCTTGAGTTGCCAGCCCTTGTTGCATGTTCACACTGATTTCCTAATTTGACTGGACATTACATTGGAATATTTGGAATGCAACTCAAATACAGTCCTGTTTTAACAGGAGAAATAGTACTTGTTCAGGTCCCGAATATCCGATATCTTATATCAAAAACAATATATCAGCATACAATAGCAGTACATAAAATAATACTATGTATCAGCTGGCTCAGCAAAGTATACAGAGCAGAAGTAGTAAGTTCACTCAGCGATTAGCGGTTGTCTTTAATCTGTCCATACGTCTGTTTCCCCGGTTTCGAGGAAGCTAGGGTACGTCAGTACGAGCAATAAAATGTACGGAAAAAACATTTTGTTTTTGAGTGAATTTACTTTTTATAGTCTGTATACCTTTGGCGTAAGTTATAATAAATAAAATTTATGGACGGTATCAGTTTCAGTAGTAAATGCTCTGGTCGCTATAAACATATCTTTTAGTACGTATATTTGTCAACCTCACTTTTAACTATTGACAACTAGAACCTACACATTCTCACTTTAGCCTTGGTTATAAATAATCAGGCATTTTATGGTTCACATAATATCTACATATGGTACAGGACGGAATGTTTAATATTTATCAATCTCATTTTACAAATTCGAGTTGATTTTTGACAAGCTTAAGGTAAGCTTCAGGAAGCTTCAATAATAGACACACCTTACCAGCAACCTTATGGAAATGCATAAAGATTATTTCCAACAAAAAGTTTCTGAATACCGCGGGTTCGCCTGAACAGCAACTTTACAGATCTTCTATATGTTTAGCCTCTTGCAGTTCCGTCACCGCTAGTTCCTTCCAAGTCTCCTGGTCCAATTTTCTGTAGACTGGACTTCAACGGAGACCTCCTTGTTCCTGGACTGTCTCATTCTGAACTGAGTTATGGTAACTCACCCGATTAAAAATGCGACGTCTGATTGTACGGAAGAAGCATTAAGAACCAAGGTTCCTTCTTCATACTCCACTATTCGCCATACTTGATAAGGTTCCGAGAACTCTAACCGCCAGTAGTTCCCACACTGCTGGTTCTTTCTCTCCCAGACTATACCTCAACGGGAACCTTGTGGCAGATAAGTTGTCACAAGATGACGAAGTGTCGATGGAGCTACCAGGAGCTTCTAGTCAGGGGGACCACTTCAGAACCAAATTCCCACTGAACACTGCACCTCTGTGTTCTTCACCTGTATCTGTACCTTCTCCAATACATGCAGTTCTTCTTTCTTTTTGATAGGCGAGAACCCAGAGCTCCGCGTACACAATCCTCCAGAAGGTCCCTCAAAACCATCTCCTCTTGAGTCCGTCGGTCTTTTTTTTTTGGTGCCTGCATCGCCTTACATCGACAAGCCGTTGGTGATGCTGTCAAAAACTAATTGTTAGTAAGTGATGGTGGAACCCGTGTGGTGGAACTGTCACGAACATCTTGCTGAAAAGACCGCTTTAGAACCAAATTCCCGCTGAGCACTGTATCCTTCTTCTATACATGTACTTCTACTTTCTTTTAGTAGGCGAGAACCCAGGGTTCTATGACCCCAACCCATCTGAAGACCCCCCAACACTAGACCTCGCGCGACCCTAAGCTAGATCTCAACGAATCATCGTGGTTCCTGCACCGCCTAACACTGAAAAGTCGTCAGAAACTAGTTGTTAGAAAGAATCGATAAAAAAAATCCCTAAACCTCGGTGCTCTGCGTCTGTATCCGCACTTTCTTCATGCTACCGTTCCTACCCATAGTGGGCGATGTACCGGAGAACCCGGGGTTTTGTATCCCCAACCCGCCAGCAGCTCCACCAGCACTGGTTCCTCCCGCGTCTCTCGGTCTGGGTTTCTTCAAACTGGACCTCAACGGCGACCTCGTGGTTCCAGCGCTTCCCCATGCCGACGAACCATTGGTGGAACCCACTGTGGTGGATATGGTCGCCATGGATCCCATGCTGCCGTTTGAAGCGTACGGCTTGCCGCTGGCGTCTGTCATTGAGACTCCCCCGGTACCTGAAAATATAACACAATGTTGCTTTGCCATATTGGACACTGTTTAAGGTGGGTGGACCATGAAAGGATAGTAAATAACATCCATCGAATTGCAAAGAGAGGATCCCGTCCTTTTGAGCAGGGGTGACCTGATCACCCCTAAGTATCGATGATAACCGCAAGCTTAATCTGGACTATGCGGCGACAATGGAGTGGAATTCAGGAAGAAGAAAGTGAGCAAGTCTGGTACACGGACTGCTCGGTTACTGAAGAGTGCCGGGGTCTTTGGGCGTTCTCTGCTTCTCGGCGGATTCACCGCTATCGTCCAGGCGTGATTCTATGCGATTCTGGATTGCTTATCCACATTCTGGAAGGGGAAGGGCACAGGAATAGAATAACAATCTTCTCGGACAGCCAGGCTGCGATGAAGGCAAGATTACCTCGAGCCTTGTATTGCAAAGCGGGGAGGCTCTGGATTGTTTTGCAGCGAGGCATACGGTGTCGTTAGTGTGGGTGCGGTAATGATATGGCGGGCGTCCTCGCGAAAGCAGGATCATCGGGCAAGCTCGTTGGTCCTGAACCAGCGCTAGGGGTGCCCACGCAAAAAGTCAGGAGGATAATGGAGAAGTATCTCTAGACATCTCCGACAGGCACAGGTACTCATCGTGGGGCCCAGCGTTAATGATGGACGCTTTTTCTTGTCGTTGTGCGAGCACTGCAAGGATGAGGAAGATTCCTCGGCGGATGTTCTATGTCGCTGTGAATTTCTGAGCTGCTACAGGAAAACTATATTGGGGTCCATCACTTTGGACCTCCAGAACGTTAAGGAACTGGAAATCAAGACCATACTCCGGGACCTCGGTTGGCCGCGTGGGTCAGAGTGTCGTGCTACTGATCAGCCGGCCGGCCGGGCCGCGAGTTCGAATCTCGTCTTCGCCATGGATGTTGTGATTGTCCGTAGGTGGTAGATGGTCTCTGACTGTCGAACGCGGAGGTACCACCCGGCGGTTCTCGTAGGCGCAGCCAGAATGTGTGCATGTTGCATGCACACGTGTTCCCTCGCCAGAGTCCGTGTGGCGTCCCCCCTTTCCCATGTATCCCCCTATAGCCCCACGGTACCCAATGGGTGCTTAGGTCTTAGGCCTTCGTGGTAGTTGGAGTATAAAAAAAAAATACTCAACTTTGCTAGAAGGGCGGTGCTTGAAGCTTAGGAAGTGTAATGATGCGTCAGGGCCCGATATGCGGCCTAAGCCCGGTTCCTCGTGATGCCTGACTAAAGAGAGAGACCTTCGCGTCGTTATGTTGTCAATACGGTCCTTCGCTTTGTGGGCTGCGGTCGTCGACGTTAAAAATATAATATGAGCTAGCAGCAAAACTTGAGTTGTCAAGGACATGAGATATTTTTTTACTATGATTTGACATGAGAGTGTTTGCTTTGGTACTGAGTAAAACAGATATTTGTTGCCTTGTTGGGGTGCTAAGGCCTTATAAGTAACATCTAGGGAACACGTCTTTAGATCTGATATATTTTACCATCTCAATATTTACTGATTTGTAGATTTTGAACGCAACCTTCAACATTTTGGCATTACAAGAAACAGACCCATAAGAACGATATTCTGGTTGGTTTAATCTATTTTATCAATCCATTGTAAAGGTGTCAACTTATTTGGTATCATACAACTCATTATAATTATTTTAAAAACATTATTAAGAATACTTCCTTGGTTTCACGACAAGTAATGTTCGCCGAGTATTTTATTATTGTTAGAATTTGATGTTACTTTTTACTGATATACCCTTGTTCCTTGCAAGGTCATTCAGAAGAGTTCAATATCTGTCCATACATACTTTCTGGAGGTGGTATTTTTAAGGATACTTTAGCTCAATACTGCTTCGACGAGATCGCCTTTTAACTTATCTCAGACCACCCTGTATACGAGCTTTCGGAGTCGCCTTATTCCACGAAGTACCACCGCTTCGTTACCTTTACAGTTAGAAAAAATAAAGTCGTTACCGTTACGTCTTTCTGTCGACGACGGACGTTACTTTTACTCTCCACTGGCTAACGAATTAATCATGCAACATTTAAGAGCAACCAACAACTCTTGAACCGCTCATTACCGTTAGATGCCCGGTTCGAAACTGTGTGCATCTCTGGTAACGATCTGGTGGATATTTTATACTAATTAGGCCTTCATCTTGAATGCATAGGCCAAAAGGAAACGCCAGAACGTATGATTAAAATAATACAGGGTGTTTCAGTTTATTGTTGCATAACTTTAAGATTCGATAGAACTTTTAAAATTAATGCATAAAGTCTATATAAACATGGTCGAAAAATGCGTGGCTTCCGAAATACAGGGTGCTTAAATTTACTTTCTAAAATAGTTTTTTTAAATATTTCGAACAATATTTGATGTATAACAGCGAAAATTGGTATACAAGGGTTTTTTGGTACGACAAAACGAACCATGGGCATAGTTTTACTGTAGCCGCTAGAGGGCGCTTTCTACTGTACCTGTGGTGTATTAAAATGACCGAAAAATTTTTTTTGGTGCAATTTTTTGCTTTTTGAATAAAAATACTGATTCTTCGCACTCTTCAACATAAAAAAGCTCTCTTGTGAGTTTTCGTTATAGTTAGCCGTTTTTGAGATATTTCGGTTTTTAAGGTTCGATGCATTTTTAATTATTTATGGGAAAATAATATTTTTTTTTACATTTTCGATTTGGGCATTACAAGTAATTAAGATGATCGTTTAGATTGTGTTTTTAAACACAGCAATAGTTTCTAACTCCAAATAAACACAAAAAAACAGAATATTAATTTGTTTAGAAAGTTAATTTAAACACCCTGTATTTCGGAAGCCACGCATTTTTCGACCCATGTTTATATAGACTTTATGCATTAATTTTAAAAGTTCTATCGAATCTTAAAGTTATGCAACAATAAACTGAAACACCCTGTATAAGAGGTTTTAATATTTTTGTAGATTTCCAAGTTGTTTGGGAGTTTTGGTTGGAAAAAGGAGTTTCGTTCTTCAACGAGTGACAAAATGTAACATTTGCCTTGAAAAACGTAAAAGTATATGATGTAAGTTTTTTGCTGAAATCACTGGGAGGCTCTATATTCCTACTTCAAATAAAAACACCACCTTTATTATTATTTTGATCGATTTTGAGCAGTACATTTTCTCTCGTTCTCTTTGCTTTTGTGAATGATGAAAAAGTATCTCTGTTGCCACCAAAACGGAAATTAGAAAGAACTCCGTATAAATAGGGACTGTTGATGAACATCCTGCTGAAAAAAGAACTCGACACGCTAAGCACCGGACAGCTTCAGACTTCCAAATAACAGAAAACCAAAGAGTGAACGTTTGTATCCCATTCTAGCGTACTTCGAAATTTCATTAAGTATTTAGTACTCTATTGGGAGCCCTGAGTAGCGGCGCAGCGTATCTCTATGGCACTTGGCGAGTTTTATATTTTTTGCAACCACAAGACTCGTGAAAAACTTCTTTCTCGTTTCCCTCAGCGGTCACCAATCTTTGTTTTTCTGTCTCCAAAAACTACCCAGATAATTTAATTTGGCGAACGCCGAGAAAAGTTAAGATTGCGCTAAAATGAGATGGTTTTCAAGAATAAAAAAAAACAAAAGGAATTTATGAAGAGAACAAACAACATGAGCAAGTAAATGTAAATTAAAAACAGTACCAATAGGACAAATTGGCTGTACACAATTTTAAGTTGTAACTGTGGAACACAAATTGCAGAAAAGGGCAAAAGTTAGACACAGTAGATTATGAATTTCAATTCTAGATGTAGAATGTACTTGAAAAAAAAATTAAATAATCTCAGAAATGTAAATCTTTTAAATCTTTCGGAATAATTTTGGCGCTAAATATTTTTTACCTTGTATAATAATCATAATTTCAATTTCTGCCAAATCAACAATGCTTCTTTTTTCCACTGATATTTATTCTACAAGATGGCCTCGTGCCATTGAACCAGAATGTTCATTGCCAGCAAACAAGAGCATAAAAAGGTTGACTCAAATATATGATGCATATACAAAGTCGATTTGTTCACAATTACAGAGTCGACCTACTCGACGTCATTTTTAAATATGAAACAGGTTAGTCTTACCGTTTGTCCTGGGGTCCCTGTATCCAGGATTTCCATACGTTGCTCCAACCACAGGAACGGAGACAGTGGTCGGATCTCCTCCTTCCCTTCTCGCGAAGAACATGTCATACAAAGACATCACGAACAGCGCGGCGTTTAAAACTATCAATAAAATCTGGAAAAAAGAATAAAATCGTAGTACGGGAGCGGCGCGATCGTGAAGCAGCCACAGTTATCACTAAAACAATCAATGTCAATCGCGTTCTATACAGGAGGCCTACATTTGAAATAACCCTCGTATATGCAACTCACAGTTAATGTACGAGGGATGTCTTTTAAGTTTTGCATATAGAAACCTCAAGCTTTAGTAAACTTAAACTCAAAGTTTCACAACAATACGTGCAGTGTTCTCACTGCAGTGAATTTTTAAGTGTGACCAAGTGTTTTGAAAATTATAGGTCTTTGAAAAAGATATAGAAATTTCACACCCTACGGAAGTCTGTCAACTCCTGTTACTACAAATATTAACTTTTTTTGGATTTTATTTTTACAATGTAATGATGAATAATGCAACTTCAAACTGGTGTCTCAACCTTACTGCCAACTTTTCTCGTTCAGGAAAAATTGCCACTTATTTCCCAACCAAGTATTCCAAAATAAAACTTTGCTCAACTTTAACCTGTACCGGAAAAAATGTACTACGAGAGTTTGGAAAGTAACCTTGAAAGTTGACGCATTTAATAAGGATTCCAAATGGTATAAATATCCTGTGACTTTCTAACATAGAGAGAGTATCTCGATCAAAACTTTCCAGACAGATGGATAAGGCGGTCTGGTACAATACCGTGGCCAGCCCGATCACCTGATTTGAATCCTTTAGATTCTTTTACTGGGGAACTGTAAAAGAAAAAGTGTATTTCAAGCCGATTCAAAATGTAGCTGAGCTACGGCAAAGACTATTGGAAGCACCTGAGTTTGTTAATAACCGTGGATTCGCTCGTTTAATAACCCGATCTTTTTTAAGAAGATGTCGAGCGTGTATTGCGGCTGAAGGAAAACAGTTTGAGCATTTGCTGTAAAGGTAAATCATCATCAGCAGCATTTTGACGTCCACTGTTGTGCGAACAGTTATCCCTAAGGGTCCTTGTGCGTTTTCATAATCGCTGGTTGATTATGAAATTTTGAAAAACTTTCATCAGTTTTTTTTCAAATAAAAATTGTGCATAAGTTAACGAGCAATCTTCTAAGTGTTATACCATTTTGGAATCCTTATTAAATGCGCCAACTTTTAAGATTACTTGCCAAACTCTCGTAGTACATTTTTTCCAGTACAGCCAGTTAAAGTTGAGCAAAGTTTTACTTTGGAATACTTGGTTGGGAAATAAGTGGCAATTTTTCCTGAACGAGAAAAGTTGGCGGTAAGGTTGAGACACCAGTTTGAAGATGCATTATTCATCATTACATTGTAAAAATAAAATCCAAAAAAAGTTAATATTTGTAGTAACAGGAGTTGACATACTGCCGTAGGGTGTGAAATTTCTATATCTTTTTCAAAGACCTATAATTTTCAAAACACATACATAAATTTTTTTTAAATATTTTTATGATAGCTGTTATGACTTTGCCTATCACCCGGTTTCGGCTTGACGTCGACTTCTGGGACACCCTGTATAGAATCTTGTCGACTTTCATGTGGCCCTTTATTGTATACAAGTATCAAAATTCGTTTTCGAGACAAAAACACTATTTAACTCACTCCAGTTTTTCCCCACGAACATCGTTAAATTGACGAACGCGCGGGTCAGCAGGTTAACTGTGACTCGATGCTAATTATACAAATAAGCTTCCGTCTCGGCAGCTTTCTTCAAACGACCAATTTAAATGTTCGATCCGGACAAATACAACTATAACAAATCATCCGTACAAGAACAGGAATCGAAAACGGAGACGGCGATAATTGCGAGCGAGCTCAATTAAATAAAGCGAAAAAACCGTCCATCAATACGCAGCGATGGGAAACGAATTGACTTCGATATTCCTTTTTCCTTCACAATTGAGTTAATTTGTCCTAATCTGTTATTTACTAGGAAATCTAATAAAAGGAGATGGCCGTTAATGACGGAAATTGACCCGAGGACATCCGTGAATTTTTTTCACATCAGAATACGTATATATTTAGCAAATTCCGTACACAATACAGAACGATAAATACTCTCTTTGGAAAAATCTACTTACTTGTATATAAAAAGCTGGGCCTCTTGAAATTTCGAATCCGCTATTGTCCCTATCTATCTGGAGAGCGAACAGTATAGCTGTCACTACGGCCAATAATGCTGAAACAAAAATACCGGTCACCTTACCGATTACCACTATACATAACCTCATCATACTTTCTTGTACATTTGGACTGCCTAAGGAATGCAAGGAATGTTTCAAACCCAAAGCCCCGAAGATAAGCTTCTGTAAACATCCTGTACAATATTGCGTACATTTCAGCTGGCACTTCACCATAATTGCTTGATATTACACTTGTGTTCGCAGCATTTAATTAAACCTTCAGGCATACCTTGTAAAGCTCAACCCCACATTTTGAGGACGTCATACAACGTGGAAATATGGTGAAATTTAATTTACTTTTCCGCTGTACACGCATTGCTTTTTACTTGAAAAACTTGCAGTGGCGAAGCGTCCATGTACCCATTGTTACCATTGGTAACAGTTAAAAATCTTAAAAACAAATATTTTATGGCCAAGTATTGTGAAATGATTCCATTTATTTGTTTACCAACAGCGATGATGGGGCGTTGCGACTATTATGTGGGCTTGTTACCATTTTCTGATTTGCTTACTCACTTCTCACTCGTTAATGGCCGTTTTGGTTAGCGGCTATTTTAGATAATTTTAAAAAGGAATAAATAACGTAGTTTGATATTTTGAATTAAGTTGGTATATGGAAACTGTTGGTTATGTGGTTGCAAAAAAAGCTTTTAGGCAGCACTCTTCTAGATACCGTACGTTTTTTGGCAAAACAGGAATTACCGTTTATTTTCAAGTGGATGACTCTGATAATAGGGGAAATTACAGGGAATTGTTAACATTCATTGACAAAAAAGATCGAACATTTTCCGAACATCTAGAAACGTCGACTGTTTTTTCGGAGGACTTGGATCAGTATATCAAGTTCTCCAGGAATGTTTACCTTAATTTAAAAATACCTAAATACCTAAAATAAGCAAAAACTTGTATTTGGGAGGTTCAAAATAAACTTCTTTTAATAAGATTTTTCACATCCGGTTTTGGTAACAGTTTAGGACAAGTCACGCGTCGCCATTGAAAACTTGATGTAACAATGTTTGAACATTCCGACCATTAGGAATATGAAGAATCTATATCGAAGGCGGTACATAGAAGTAATATCAGCAGCAGAAAAATCTTCCATAGATTCTATAACTTTACAAGAACCCATATTTGTTTTCAGCGACGGACAGACTCTGGTATCCGTCCTGCAATGGCGTCCCATAATTTTTATTACTTAAAAATATTATTTCATTGGGAGTAAACTGGAATAATTATGCTGCACTGCTTTGGTAGACAATTTATCAGAATGCAATTTCAGCTATGGAATATATCACACACAATATGTCACTTTGGGTCATGAATTTTCATACCTTGGTCATCAATCAAATGACATTACAGTGCTTCATAGTCTAGCTAATAATAAAATTGATTGCTCGGGATCATTACTTAAAACCAATAAAAAAATAGACGTCTCCTGTTAATAGAATGTGTGGTAATTTGGGAAATCCTGAAAATTTAAAAATTTTTGAAGAAAGACGAAATTTGGAAAATTTGGAAAATTCTGTAAATTTTGAAAATATAGAAAATTTTGTAAATTTTGTAAATTTTAAAATTTTGAATATTTTGAATTGAATTTTTGAGAATTTTGTAAATGTAGAAAATTTTGAAAGTTTTGAAAATTATCAAAATTTTGATAATTTTTGAACATTTTAAAATTTTGAAAATTTTTAAAATCATTCCGATGAAACCTGCTATGTAAAAATTTTTCTACTTCGGAGCTTTTTGAATCTGAATCTGTATAGTCAAATATCAGCTCCGTGATCCGAGTTTCAGAATAAGAAACTAGTAATTCTGTAGATATACTAAAAATCGGTGTGAATGGAAGCGAAACCGATTTTTTAAATTTAAAAGTGTTCTTATGTCATTCTGTAAAAACTGATTCCAAACACAGGTGTTTTTGACGAAATTTAGGAAATTTTAAAATTTGGAAAAATTTGTAAATCTTGTAAATCGTTGTTTGATGAAACCCTAATATGTACCAGTTTTGTAAAATCTTGAAAATTTCGAATATTTTGAATATTTTGAAAATTTGGAACATTTTGAGAATTTTGTAAATGTAGAAAATTTTGAAAGTTTTGAAAATTATCAAAATTTTGATAATTTTTGAACATTTTAAAATTTTGAAGATTTTTAAAATCATTCCGATGAAACCTGCTATGTAAAAATTTTTCTACTTCGGAGCTTTTTGAATCTGAATCTGTATAGTCAAATATCAGCTCCGTGATCCGAGTTTCATAATAAGAAACTAGAAATTCTGTAGAGATATACTAAAAATCGGTGTGAGTGGAAGCGAAACCGATTTTTTAAATTTAAAAGAGTTCTTATGTCATTCTGTAAAAACTGAGTCCAAACACAGGAGTTTTTGACGAAATTTAGGAAATTTTAAAATTTGGAAAAATTTGTAAATCTTGAAAATCGTTGTTTGATGAAACCCTAATATGTACCAATTTTGAAAATCTTGAAAATTTCGAATATTTTGAAAGTTTTGAAAATTTGGAACATTTTGAAAATTTTTTAAATTTTGAAAATTTTGAAAGTTTTGAAAATTATCAAAATTTGGATAATTTTTGAACATTTTTAAAATTTTGAAGATTTTTAAAATCATTCCAATGAAACCTGCTATGTAAAAATTTTTCTACTTCGGAGCTTTTTGAATCTGAATCTGTATAGTCAAATATCAGCTCCGTGATTCGAGTTTCATAATAAGAAACTAGTAATTCTGTAGAGATATACTAAAAATCGGTGTGAGTGGAAGCGAAACCGATTTTTTAAATTTAAAAGAGTTCTTATGTCATTCTATAAAAACTGATTCCAAACACACGAGTTTTCGACGAAATTTTGAAAATTTTAAAATTTGGAAAAATTTTAAAATCTTGAAAATATATGTACCAATTTTTCCACATCGGCGCTTTCTGAATCTTTGTATAGTCCAATATCAGCTCCGTGATCCGAGTTTCATTATTAGAAACTCTAGTAATTCTGTAGAGGTGTAGAGATTTACTAAAAATCGGTACCGATGAAAGCGAAAGGCGATTTTTTTAATGTAAAAGAGTTTTTAGGTCAAACTGTAAAAACTGCTTGTAAACACATCCGAATTTCAAGTTTACAAATTTTGCTATTTTCTAAAATTTTGGTCATTTCTAAGATTTCGATTTTTTTTTTAAATTTTGAAAGTTCTGAAAACTTTGAAAAGTGAAAATTTTGAAAAATGGACAGGAAAGACCGAATGGTAACATGCTTGTGTATGGACTCCAAATATCTACCTCTTTAGCTCCTTTACTGACTGAACAATGGGTGAAGGAAAAGATTGGGACGACCACGGAGTGATTCTACTGTTAGTAGTCTCTATACCTTGAGATATGTCTACGGGAAATAATTTCAAGGCATTTTTTGTTTAAGAAAGGGCTTCAGTTTTTGTCGAGCGTCGTTTTCCATCCACATCAGAATTATTTTATAAAGAACATTAGACTTATTCGTTTTGTCAGGATAAGACAAATACAAATGACGCCAGTATACGATATTTCAGTCTCTGGGTAGTGATATATGATACTAGAGGAAAATTGGATTACTTCTTGTTATAATCAAGTTATATAAAATACAAAATACTTTGTAAAATATTTGCACAATCGTCAATATACTTTTATATAGTATTTTATATGTTTTGTTATCAAAGCTGTCTAGTAACGCACTGTGTTTGTTTTTTGGTGACTAGTGCGATTCGTGGAATAGTGTAACTGATACATGCTAATTTTTAGAAAAATTAAATTTTAAATTTATATCGTTTTACAGTAGTTGCTATATCATAGTATTGTTTATTCTCATGTAGTAGGCTTGTGTTACAGTTTTTCATATCTTCTGGATTTTGTAATCTATGTATCTTTTTAATTTATCACTATAGTAAGCACCGGGTGCTGTCTTTGGAATTTACATTCTGTTGCACCCGAAACATGAGTAAATAAATAAATAAATAAAAATGCGTTTTTAATGTCAGATTTGTTCTAAAATGACAGTCAACTTTAAGACCATCTTCTGGTTAGCTAGAAAGTGACAGTGCCACCTCAATGATACAGATAGCCAGATGTGGCTCTCGATCGCTATATGTAACATTTTAGTCTTCTTCCAAAATATGACAAAAGCTAATTTCGAGCTATATAAACTTCATGGTAGTTACCTGAAAGGAGTGCCAGCGCTACCTTGGATATGACTACGATGCTATACTTCATCACCACCTGTTCTTTGGAACTTAACATGGCTAACTGGAGTACGCTGAGGAAACAGAATACTCCCAAAATGGCAACTTCGATGGACGCCACGATGCCTGCTATGAACACAGCAACTGCAAAAAGCAAAATACATCCTTTCAGTAAGAATATGAGTACTCGTATATACATAAAATTGTCCTCAAAGCTATCTAGATCTGTTGTATTGGACAATAAATATACTAAGTGTTGGTAATGAGTGTTGTTTATACAATTCTGGTAAAGAATTATATATGGTGGCAACATTGTAGGAGAAACTGCGTTGAAATAGAGATTTCTTGGTAATTTTATCTATAACTAGTCTAGTATGAATATCATTGTTAAATGAAGTTATACTAAGTGACATATAAATCCGAACACACCCTGATGTGCTACGCATTCTCCAACGCGCCTAGGCATGCTTCCGATCAGGTGGTCAACGTCCTCCTGTGGTATCTCATTCCAGGCAACCACCAACTCCTCTCGAAGTGCTTCTAGAGTCTGAGGAGGACGTTGCAAATTGAGCAATCTCCTACCCATCATATCCCACACGTGCTCAATTGGGGATAAGTCGGGAGATCTTGGTGGCCATGGTAACAATGTGACATCATTATGTTGAAAGAAGTCTATTGTGACTCTTGCAACATGTGGTCAAGCATTATCTTGTTGGAAAGTTGGATCTGCCAGGGTGTCAAGATAGGGTAAAAGATGGGGTTCTAGAACTTCGTGGATATAACGCTGCGCGTTCATGTTACCTCTGATGAAGATTAAAGGTGACCTGGGACCATAAGCTATAGCACCCCAAACCATAACTCCAACAGTGTGATAAACATGTCTTTCAACAAAAAACTGTGGATTCCTCGTTTCACCACGTCGCCTTCTAACCCTTGCACGACCATCGTGCATGCCTAAACAAAATCGAGACTCGTCACTAAAGACAATACTGTTCCATTCCTGATCCCAGAGTGACCGTTAACAAGCCACAACTTCTCATTCGTCGGTAAACACTTCGCATGCCAATAGGTCTTCCGTGTTCTGCAAACCATTCATTTGCAATGGACCTGGTAGTGGAGAAACGGTCCCTTAAGGCCAATAATCTTAGGCGGCGATATTCACGGTCTGTTGTTCTACGGCGGCGTCCAGTGCTCCTTGCTCTTTGCGTACGGCCTTCTCGAAGCCACGCCTGACCACACCTAACCACAGTGTCTACACTTCTTTGCACTCTAACTGCAATTGCCCGAAAAGAAATTCCAGCTTCCCGAAGTCCCACTATACGGCCCCTATCAAACTCACTAAGTTGACGAAATCGTGCAGGTCTCCGTACTCTAGGCATGGTAACCGATCGTAAAGGATGTCAAGAACCAAAATCCGCCAACGTTCATTCTTTACTGCGGTTGAAATATTCATTTTTAGAGCGTTAGTGAATTAAAAAAAAGCAGTATAAAAACCGAAATGTAAAACTGATAAGGCTGAACATTTTTTCACTTGTTATTTACAGTAAGATAAATACATTCAGCGACTTTTATTAAAATAAAACCATTTAAACTGGGTGTTCGGATTTATATGTCACTTAATATACTCGTACTTTGTTCGATAGCAATTGGGGATTTAAGCCTTACATTTGCGACTACTTCCGTGTAATAAACAATAAATAAAATAGTGCATATACAACCACAAATGAAGCATTCGTATAAATGGATTTGATATCATTCAACATATTCCCACAGATATCGATCGCGAAAGTTTCGTGTAATCTAAACTGAAATCTCCGGATTCATTCATAAACTGGATCTAGCTGTGGCGTTGTAAGTTGATGCTCAGTATAATTATAGACATATAAAGTTTCCGGGCGAATGTATTTCATTAAACCCTGAATTTAATTTCCCCGGAGTCCATTTCTTGGTATAACCCCACATCGGATTTATGCGCCGCTGGGGAGGTATTACTCTTCTTTAGTTTGCAATTATACGGATTATGCAGTTTTCGCTGCCTCGAATTCCAATGCTAGTTATTTATCGTTCGATCAAAAATCTTAAGTCCATAGAAGCTCCTCTTACCGTCAGGGGTATTTGTAAAGAATCTAAAAAACGTAAAAAACGACTAAATGTCATCTTGCAGACTAGGTAGTTTTGAGTGTGGAATGAACCCGTTTCATTCCACGTTCACTCGCTATGATCGCTGCTCGCAGAAGCTTGTGCTTAGCTAACATCTTGTAGAAAAACCTACGATACGTCACAAAAATCTACGAAATGTAAAAAAAAACAACACATGTCACTTCTGACGATACGTAATACCTGTGCGGTTCAAGAGGAATGTACTACTTGGGTTTTTTTGAAAGAGAGTAATACATTAAGCCTAAAATACTTTCCGGGATCTTTTAGCGAAGAGTTGATCATTCAGTTAGACTATGCAACCTCAAAAATATTGATTTTTAACTGAATTGATAAGAGCTGAAAATGACAATTTTAGGCTTTTTTAGGCATTAAGACCCCCGTTTACTTATAATCGACCCTTAAGGGTCCGTCCGCCTGCGAACGAACAATAACGCACCCTTGAGTGATTTTAAAAATTTTCTAAATGCTCAAAATTTCAATTTCAATTTCAAAATTTAGCTTTTGCAGTTGACTATTCTTATGACGGCTTTTCAGGTTATCCGGGATTTCAAGAAATTTTTAAAAATTTAAAATTTTGAAAATCATGAATAATCTGAAAATTATGGAAATTCTGAAACTGCTGAAAATCTCGAAAATTTAAAATGGGAGTATTAGAATATGAGAGTATTAGAAATTGCGGAAATTTTGGAAATATTGGAAATCATGAGAATTTTGAAAAATTCGAAAATATTGATAGTATGTACTGAAAATTCTGATTTCGAAAATTTTTAGTTTTAAAAATTTAGAAAATTTTAGAAACCATAAAAATTTCGGAATTTTCAATATTTTTTTGAAATTCTCAAGGTTTTCAAAATTTCAAAGTTCCACAGTTTATAAAATTTTTAATATTTTCTGCTTACAAAAATGGAACTCGGAATTCCCGTGAGTTTCGTAATTTTCATTATCTTCAAAATTTTAAATTATAAAAATCTTGAAAATCCCGAATAACCTGGAAGATCGTAATAATTCTCAGTTTTGAAGATTTTGATTATTCAAAATTAAAAAACTCGAAAAACCCAGAATCCCGTGACAAGACCAGCCTACTGTGAAATGTCAAATTTTGAAATTGAAATTTATATTTTGAAAATTTCAAAAATTTTGAAAAGTTTGAATATTTTGAAAAATTTTGAAAATTTTGAGAATTTAAAAATTTTTGATCTTTATCTTATAAATTTTGATTATTTGCCAAATTTTGAAGATCTTTAACATCTTGGACATCAATATTTTCAGTATTATCAAGATATTCAAAATTTCAATAACTATCACGGTTTTAAAATTCTCAATATTTTCTGTCTACTAAATACTCGCAAACTCCATAAATTTAAGAAATTTGAACATTTTGAGAATATTGAATATTTTGTAAATTATGAAGATTTTGAACATTTCTAAAATCAATATTTTGGAGATTTCGAAAATTTGAAATTTTTGTGAGAATACCATTACTATTACTGTTTTTTATCTGCAGTTCCAAAACCTACATCATACTGATGAGCCTCAACAAATACAGAGCAGCTACTGTAGAAACTGTAAAGCGCCAAACGTATCTCGGAGGTTCGTAATATATACTAAGTGACATATAAATCCGAACACCCAGTTTAAATGGTTTTATTTTAATAAAAGTTGGTGAATGTATTTATCTTACTGTAAATAACAAGTGGAAAAATTTTCAGCCTTATCAGTTGGACATTCCGGTTTTTATACTGCTTTTTTTAATTCACTAACGCTGTAAAAATGAATATTTCAGCCGCAGTAAAGAATCAACGTTGGCGGATTTTGGTTCTTGACATCCTTTACGATCGGTTACGATGCCTAGAGTACGGAGACCTGTACGATTTCGTCAACTTAGTGAGTTTGATAGGGGCCGTGCAGTGGGACTTCGGGAAGCTGGACTTTCTTTTCGGGCAATTGCAGTTAGAGTGCAAAGAAGTGTAGACACTGTGGTTAGGTGTTGTCAGGCATGGCTTCGAGAAGGCCGTACGCAAAGAGCAAGGGGCACTGGACGCCGCCGTAGAACAACAGACCGTGAAGATCGCCGCCTAAGATTATTGGCCTTAAGGGACTGTTTCTCCACTACCAGGTCGATTGCAAATGAATGGTTTGCAGAACACGGAAGACCTATTGGCATGCGAAGTGTTTACCGACGAATGAGAAGTTTTGGCTTGTGTTCATACCGGCCACACTGGGTCCTCTCTTTAACTCGAGAACACCGACGTAATCGCCTTGAGTGGTGCAGACAACGGTCACTCTGGGATCAGGAATGGAACAGTATTGTCTTTAGTGATGAGTCTCGATTTGGTTTAGGCATGCACGATGGTCATGCCAGGGTTAGAAGGCGACGTGGTGAAAGGAGGAATCCACAGTTTTTTGTTGAAAGACATGTTCATCACACTGTTGGAGTTATGGTTTGGGGTGCTATAGTTTATGGTTCCAGGTCACCTTTAATCTTCATCAGAGGTAACATGAACGCGCAGCGTTATATCCACGAAGTTCCAGAACCCCATCTTTTACCCTATCTTGACACCCTGGCAGATCCAACTTTCCAACAAGATAATGCCCGACCACATGTTGCAAGAATCACAATAGACTTCTTTCAACATAATGATGTCACATTGTTACCATGGCCACCAAGATGTCCCGACTTATCCCCAATTGAGCACGTGTGAGATATGATGGGTAGGAGATTGATCAATTTGCAACGTCCTCCTCAGAGTCTAGAAGCACTTCGAGAGGAGTTGGTGGTTGCCTGGAATGAGATACCACAGGAGGACATTGACCACCTGATCAGAAGCATGCCTAGGCGCGTTGGAGAATGCGTAGCACATCAGGGTGCATCCACACATTATTAAAGGTCAAAGGGCTTTAAAGCAGTGCAATCATTTTGAAATTTTTATCATTTACTTATTATGCTTCATTAAGTACTTATACAAAATTTTATTAAAATAAAACCATTTAAACTGGGTGTTCGGATTTGTATGTCACTTAGTATATTTTCCATACTTCTCGAATGTATTTCGAAGACATAGATTGGCTCAAGTATTCGCGAAGTTGTAATATTACAAAATCCAACGGAATGCACTTCGTTTCATCTTGTATATACCTTACTGGTATTAGTTTGTCTTTCACGTATTGAGCGGAATCAAAGTAAATTGGATCTTAAACTCGAGAATCTGAGGCAAGACGATTGAACAATAAATATGAAGGTAGCTTTGTTCTAGTATGTTCTATGCACTTCGTGATATAGAGCGAATAATATTAATACAAGAGCTATGCAATTTTTGTTAGGTTTTGGCGAGAAACAGTCACTCGAACAATCAATCAATTAATCGAATAATCGTTCTAGAAAAACGCGACGATATTTCTAGGACAGGAAATACTCGTACATGCATTTCCAGGTTTTTCGAAATTTACAAGATTTAAATTTTGAAAATCTTGAAAACAGTATTCTCAAAATATTAAAAATTCCGAAATGTACCGTAAATTCTGAAGATTTTAAAAATTTTAATATCTTCAGAAGTTTTGAAAAACATAGAAATTTTGGATATTTTCAAAACTTTAAAAATTTCGAAAATTTTGAAAAGTTGAAAATTTTGAAAATTTGGAATATATTGAAAATTTTGTAAATTTTGAGAATTTTGGAAATTTTGAAGACTGAAAATTTTGAAAATTTTGAAATTGAAAATTTTGACAATATTGAAAATTTTGAAAATCATGAAAATTCTGAAAACTAAAAATTTTCAAAATTGTTCAACGTTCGTGTTTTGGCCTTATTCAGTCTCATCAGTAGCGTATTTCTCTTCGTTATTTTTGTGTGTATACAATTTTCAAAATTTTCAGTTTTCAGAATTTTCATGATTTTAGAAATTTAGAAAATTTAGCAAATTTTGAATTTGAAAATTTTGAAGTATTTGACAATATTGAAAATCATGAAAATTCTGAAAACTGAAAATTTTGAAAATTGTATACATACAAAAATAACAAAGCCAAATGAATACGCTACTGATGAGACTGAATAAGGCCAAAACACGAACGTTGAACAATTTTGAAAATTTTTGAAATCCAGAGAATTTTGAAAATTTTTATGAGACTGAATAAGGACAAGACACAAAAATTGTCCAAATAACTCTACGGTGCAATATATTTTTCGTAAAAGGTAGTGGCCTAGAAAATAATGTACTGTTTTCTTCTGCAAGTGCCAAATTTTTCCTATTTTCGTATGCATTCTATGCCAGTACTGTGTGCAATATCAAGCAAGTAAATATCTTCTCCCTCTTCTATCAAATTAAATCTCCCACCCACTCCGAAGAAATACTTTTTTCGATTTCGATATTATAATGTCAAGGGCCCATATTTATATGAATAGGTGTATAATACTTTTTGATCAGCCCTGTCACATTTTTCTGGAACACCCTGTATAGCGCTAAGCACAAACTGGAATTGGAACAAAATTATGAACGAACTACGTCTATGTTGTAAATGTTGAGTGCAAGCAGATACTCACTGTGAACTCTGAACCTTGTCTCGTCTTTCCCGCATCGTTCTCTGTTGTACAACAGGAGCTTGCAAGTTTTCCATGGTCCAAAGTATCCTTTCTCGTCTCCTAGTCCGCCTGCAAGAAAAAAAAATCTTATGTAGGCACAAAAAAGGTTTCAGACTTGTTCAGATTTCGCTCGTTCTCCATCGACACGAACCCTAGTAGACCATGCTGAAGAGCTGCCAAATAGCACGGATCGGCTGTCCATATCTACTAAAGCGCCAAAATTGTACTGATCGATTCTGGTAATGACACTGTTTTGAAAATTTTCTGTAGCGTTTTGGGAGAGAGAGAGAATATTGATACGGGAGTTCTCCAAGGATCTATATCTGGGCCGCTTCTTTTTATACTGTATATAAATGATCTGGATGGACTGTTCAATGGCCGTGTGAATCTTAGATTGTATGCAGACGATGACGTGATAACGTTTGGTCACTAAAATTAATGACATTTTCAAGCATCGTACAGAAGAAGTTAGATGACGTTAAATGACAAACAGAGCAATTTCCATAACGACACTAAATTTCTATAAATAGATTATTATGATGACAGTTTTAAATTCACATAAATAACAATCTACGAACAGTTCTATAGAATCCAGGCTGAAGTACGACCTTTGCTTTTGGGGTACATCAATTGCAAAAAATGTATTTATCAGCCAGAAAGAGGCGATCAGAAGCATTGCTAAAATAAACAGTATATATCGTTGTAAGGAACTATTTAAAAGATATAGAATACTTATGTAAATATATGATATTACTGTATTAATGTATGTGAATTTAGAAAACAATTTAACAAATGCATGGACTAGACACAACACAATATAACCGATTATTTGTACCTTTTGTGAAACACAATGTATCCAGGAAGTCTCCAAGGTATTTAGGGCCAAAGGTTTCTAACAGTTTACCAACAGACCTAAGAAATCCCAAGGATATAAGCTTTTTCAAAATAAAACTCTAGCAGGGCTTCAATGTTCAATTGTTTGTATGTTATTTGTTTATGTTCGTTTTTTGTCTTTCAAATTGCATATTCACCTTTGACAATACATTGTATGTGTTGGAAATAACAATAAACTATTACTCTCCATACCATTATTTGAAAATTTTTGTTGCCCTTAATTAGTCTCATCAATAGCTTAGAAATTTACAACATCCTGTTTCTTGGTGAAGGGACATATTGTTATACGTTTACTCTATATGGATCTCTTGTATAAGCGCATTTTTTTCAATATCTACTGTCATGTAACATTTTCCCGGAAATTAATGTAGGTTTTTATATATCCTTCCAATCAGACAGCACGTCAGCCTTTGCGATCCTGTAACGGTAGGTTGTTCAATAACTCCTATGATGACTTATTGATAGAGTGTATGACGAATGAATCTGGGTCAGAATATTTCCAAGCGGAAATAAATGCTTGCTGAACAATAGCGGATCCAGCATACGGAAGATACAACAATGCATTCTTTGGGCTTCAATAGTTGATAGAACGTAACATAAGTGTCGTCTTCATCGAAGACAGGAAAAATGTGCAAGAATTGCGTCTGGAAGCTGTTAGAATACCATAGATCCCACCTACGCCATAAGGTTTTAGGTAGTCGCGTAAAATTTCGTAATTGAGATATTACGTTCTGCGGCGGTGTCGTCACTGACACACCGCTACAGGAGGAATACTTATTTATTTAGCACTATTTTCTGAATTTCTGAATTTTATGTACCACCTATTTCGCTTGACCTTGAATCCGTGTTCCTCCGTTTATGATGGTTCCCTGAATATTTCATCAAGTAGATTGACTCAGTACTTTGACGTATTGATATATAACACGGATTGACAAACCGACATAAATAAGAAACTCGGACATTTGTGATGCAGATATCTTTAAGCAATCGTTTAGGTAGTCGTAGGTTTTAAAAATTGGTTCAAGAGCGGCGAAAATGGAATCGTTAGAGCAACGTTTCAGAAATTCCTGCTCATTTTCAGATATTGTTTGGAGTCGATGAAAATTGTAGGATCTTATTACTTATGCCATACTGATAATTCCTAATGAGGATACAACACCGCTGCACTTGGTTGGCAAGTCATGTATACAGTTTAGCTTTCTGAGTTTATGACAGTCTTGCAACATGAAGGTTGTAATATCATTTTCATTTTCAGGCAAAATGTAATAAAGATTGTCGGCATCTTTAAACCGAAACCAAACAAATAACACCTCAATGTCGACGAGAGTTTCGTGAAAATATGTTTTTATATCATTCATTATTTCGTGTTCTTTCGGAGCTCATACAATATTCAACTCGCTGTCATCTCAACAAACTGGATTATTACGAGGCGTCCTTGATCCGCACTGCTTCATATTAAAAAATGCGGTGGTAAACAACCGACCGAACATCCCAACTTGGCGAATAGTTTTTTGGAATTGCGCCTGTACTCCGACAACAACCGCAACTCGGAGTGACTGTAACTGCCAGCTGCCACTCCAAGCTGATTTATATCAAACCAGCAAATAGTTTAATAGACGTGGACACCTACGTAAATTGTAATGAGTATGACGTCACGGTATACAAAAATGGAATGGGACCTGTTATCGACAACTTTATCCTTGGGGCATCGATGGAAAGGTCTTATACAGGGCCGATTTTTGAGCAGGGTCTATCGAGGACAACAACCACATATTTGCGGATAGCGAGGGAGGAGACTCGCCTTTCTATCCGTTGTTCTTTGTACCAATTGTCAATAGTGTAAGCATACCTTCTAGAAGGTTCACGTCACTAAACACGACCGCCCTTAGGCCTATATATAGGTGAAAAATTAAAGCTTCCGCCTTTTGTTGGGTACTTCGACAAAATTTAAGCAAAGAGGACTCTTTATACTTTTTTTAATTCTCTCTAGCTTTCAATGGACTTTGCCATCATCATCAGGAGCTGCAATTACAATGATAACAGTAGCAACAAAAGTGTAAAATGAATTTAAATTGAATCAACTTACAGTAGTATGTGAGGATGTTGCTAACTGTTGTTTTCGTATAGGATGAGGGAAACGTCCAGTAACATGGTGAGAGCTGGATACATGGTACAATGGTTAAAATTATATAAAATATGACAAGACAATTTAAAGACAGATTAAAAATTATTTAGAAAACATTAGAGCATTACGTCGTGAAGCCACTTGATGATTGCACAAAATGGTGGTCATGGAATAATGAGTGAGATGAACCTTTGACAGAAGGCCGAAGGTTGTCAATGTCTGTGTTGAAAGATGGAACGAATTGTGGGCGTGTGCCAAAACGTCGCCAAATCACTTCAGATGATGTGATTTTCAGAATGTTATGTAAGAATTGTTAAACCGACCAGAGGCAGTTGAATAAACTATATTTTAATTAATGGGAATTTTAAATTAACAATTATTAATAAATCGTGAGAAGAGAATTATTAGATTTTGTACCATGTATCCAGCTCTCACCATGTTACTGGACGTTTCCCTCATCCTATACGAAAACAACAATTAGCAACATCCTCACATACTACTGTAAGTTGATTCAATTTAAATTCATTTTACACTTTTGTTGCTACTGTTATCATTGTAATTGCAGCTCCTGATGATGATGGCAAAGTCCATTGAAAGCTAGAGAGAATTAAAAAAAGTATAAAGAGTCCTCTTTGCTTAAATTTTGTCGAAGTACCCAACAAAAGGCGGAAGCTTAATTTTTCACCTAACTGGTTTAGACGACAATGACCACGTCTCAAGTTATATATATATATATATATATATAGGCAAAGGCAAAGCATTGCAAAAGTACACTCTTATAACTCAAACTCAAGCTTTCGAGGATCTATGTCTTCATCGTCTGGAGCTAGAAACAATTATTGACAATAGCAACAATTATCAATTAGGAGGAAAAATAGTTACTTACTAAGTCGGCGAGATTGTTGCTGAAATTGTTGTTAAACAACAGTGAAGGGAACACATAGTCGACGAATATATATATATATATAGGTGAAAAATAAAGCTTTCGACTTTTGTTGGGTACTTCGAAAAAATTCAAGCGAAGAGGAGTCTTTATACTTTATTAATCTCTAGCTTTCAATGAACTTTGCCATCTTCATCAGGAGAGTCGTATGTGAGATTTCTATTTTATTCTATTCACTCTTGCAGTTGTCCATTCTGGTAATAGATATCAATTTGTGCTGTTGAATTGCGATAAACCTGATACCTTAGATAGAGGATATTTTTCCTTGCCCTTGTCGCCCTACCTGAAACGCGTTGAAGATTGCCAATAAGCATGAAACAGCTGTGTCCCTCCGTTAGTCATCGGGCAACAAGCAGCATTATTAGCTCCCAGATTACCCTGTTTTATGGCAACCGGTGTAAATGTCACCTTAGCTTACGGCTATTTTGTGTATATTTTATGCTCGTAAAGAGACGATCCGCCTCATATTATTCCACGCTATATCATCCTATCCTTTGTCGCTACCGTAATAAACCGTCAAGTCGACGTATAACTGGAATATTCCTCAGTTTGCATGTCGCACCTTCCAAATGAATTTACGCTTTGGCGTGCAGGAACAAACGTACAGCGTATACAAAGATACACAGCAAGGAAGGTCCTTGAAAATTACGCTGAATCTTTCTATGAACGTGAGAGCTCGGTACACGATGCAAGAAGCTGCCACACGCAAACGTAACGCGAGGATGTCGCAAACACCACTTTAACGATATAATTAGATATTAAAAGGTGTGTTTGAAATTACTACAAGCCCGGACATTCCAATGTTTAAAATTTATACTGAAAACCTATCAGAGACTGACAAGCTGCTAGAATTCCATCGACATGAATTGACAAAAGCAGCTGCTAGTGACGACTATCGAGAATGAATAGAACTTTCAATAATGTTCTTTGGCGGAGATAGGTAAAAGCGCCTAACGAGGATTTATGATTTTTAAAGGCAATGAAGCCAATTTCAGAAGCAGCCTTTCAAAAGTTCTGGTAATATTTATGGAATTTGACAGATGAAATTGCTCTGGTGTGCAGTATTAGATATGCTGTGGTGTACAAAGCTAGGCTTGCCTTGGAAGTAGAATTGCGTCACTGGAATGCCGGGCACGAAATTTGGAGCGTGTGGATGGGTGAAATATTCCGGAAATGCCGCTAGGAACTCGCACAAAGATAAGGCATAGCATAGATTCTCTGGTTTGTGGTCATAGTCTTAATTGGATACAGCTGTTTGCGACACCAACGGCTCTGAAATGATGTTAGTTGTCTCCGAAATGTTTCTTCGCTAAATAAGACTGTGTAAAATAGACGAAAAGACTGTCTCGATGTATCTTATTAGAAAGAGAATTATTTGGTGGCAAAGCTTAACCATTAGAAGGCATGTTGGAAGATTAACAGTTAATTGAGCTATGAGCTTATTTTATTTTCTTACAATCGCATTGATAACAGTGTTTACTATAAACACTTACTTTGCTTCAACGGTTTAGGCGATTCTCTTCGCTCTTGATGTGACGCAGGTATCAATTTTGGCTCTGGCAAAGCATTTATTTCATCTTTACGACACTGCGAGTATCTGGGAGATAAATCCGATTCACATCTGGCTCGAAGAGTACTAGTCAAAGCTCTGGGTTTGAGCTGGAAAGAAAGGGATTGACATCTTTCTCCTTCATGGAAGTTCCGGGGATTATCCCACTTCCCGAGGCAATTTGGCGCTGGTCAATGCTCCTGAGATATTTCTCGGTAACAGTAAGCTTGCACAGTTCAAGAATCTTACCAACAATATGGAGTTGAGCTATAAAGAGCGATTCATAGATGTTCTGGGGGTTGTGGCTATTCGCGACGCAATTCGTTGCAGGTCAATGCTCCTGAGATATTTCCTGGTAACAGTAAGCTTGCACAGTTCAAGAATCTTACCAACAATATGGAGTTGAGCTGGAAAGGTATTGCCATGTTGTTCTTCATGGAAGTTCTGGGAGTTGTGGCACTTCCCGAGGCAATTTGGTGTAGGTCAATGCTCCTGAGATATTTCCCGGTAACAGTAAGCTTGCACAGTTCAAGAATCTTACCAACAATATAAAGTTGAGCTAGAAAGAAAGATATTGCCATCTTTTTCCTTCATAGAAGTTCTGGAGGTTGTGACGCTTCCCGAGGCAATTTGGTGCAGGTCAATGCTCCTGAGATCTTTCTCGGTAATAGTAACCTTGCACAGTTCAAGAATCTTACCAACAATATGGAGTTGGTCTGGAAAGAAAGATATTGCCATCTTTTTCCTTTATGGAAGTTCTGGGGATTGTGGCACTTCCCGAGGCAATTTGGTGTAGGTCAATGCTCCTGAGATATTTCTCGGTAATAGTAAGCTTGCACAGTTCAAGAATCTTACCAACAATATGAAGTTGAGCTAGAAAGAAAGATATTGCCATCTTTTTCCTTCATAGAAGTTCTGGAGGTTGT